ATAATTTGTTTCTGGAGCTATGGATGTAAATTTGTCGGTCTTAATTGAAATGGAAGCATTAATTAATCCCACAGTTTCAACTTTTTATCATGCCTTTTTTGGGTTAATAATCATTTTTCTAAAGTGATTTCTGCCTGTTTTTTAAAAGCACACACACATGGGTTTAGCATTATCTCAAGGAGTCATTTGATTTTAGTATTATTTTCAAATGATACATAATATCTCAACTTTTTTCATTAGAAAAACAAATGTAATCTCAACAACATTTCAGTATTTTATTAAGGGTAAAATACAAAAACCTCTCCTGAAGTTTCTGACAATCATAAAAACCTCCCTTATAGTTTCATTTTAACAAATATTTTTTTAGAACTTTTGAGAAACTCAACAAAAACCTCTCTTCCGTCATTGTCCCAGACGGAAAATGTTAGATTGATGCACCATTTTTTTTCCAAATATCCATTCTACCCTTTTATAAATGCTTTTACATACAAAATTATTGAAATAAATCTCACTTTAACTCAATAAAAAAACATATTTCAGTAATTTTGTATGTAAAATTATTGAAATGATCGTTAAAAGAGGTTTTTGTTGAGTTAAAATGGGGTTATTGTAGTAATTTTGTATGTGAAATAATTTATATCTAACGTTTTTCGTCTGGAACAGTGATGGAAGGGAGGTTTTTGTTGAGCTTCTCAAAAGTTCAGGGGAGGTATTTGTTAAAATGAAACTATAGGGGAGGTTTTTATTATTGTTAGAAACTTCAAGGGAGGTTTTTGTATTTTACCCTTTTATTAAACAATTATTTTCAACATCATTCGCAAAAGTCATGATATTTCACTAAGGCTCAGTTTGGAAGGAGTAGAAATACAAATATGTAGAGTGCAAAATCTTACATTTTGTATTATTTTGTACTGCACATATTTGTATTTGTACTCCTTCCACACTGAGCCTAAGCAACCAATTTTCAGCATCACTTTTAAAGGCATATTTTTTAGTGTAAACATCCTTTTTTTTCTATGAACAATTTGTCCCAAAATATATATAAGCTTTCTTATTTTTATAAGGGTTTGGCTATGATACTAAAAAGACAACATATCTGAAAAACTTATAACCAATCAATTGATCTTAGGGGTGTCAATTGGATTGGATTTGGTCAAATCCGATCCAGCCCAATGTGAATCCATTATACATGGACCAAGTCCAATCCAATCCGATGAATATTTTGGACCAGTCCAATTCAGTGCCTGGACCATCCAATCTATTGAAATTCATTTTGATTTAGATTGGATTCAACCCAAACCTGGTCCATTGACACCTATATTCTTATCCTATATTAATGGACCAGATATTGGCTTAATCCAACCCAATCCAAAACAAATTTATTACGTACATATCAGGTTCAATCCAATCTAATAAATATTTTGGACCGAATTGGTCCAATCCAATATGTCTTATTGGTCCGTCCAATCCGTCCAAATTGATTTTGGACTGGATGGAGTCCAATCCAAAACCGGTTTATTGACACCCTTACTTGATATCACAAACGTATTAACCAATTAAGTGGTATTTATTAAAATTCATGGATGGATTTTGTTTGGTAAAGTTCTTCATGTATCATGCCTTTATGGCATCATAGATTTTCCCATAAAATAATATTGCATAGAAAATGATGATTTTGGACTAATTTCAACATTGTTTTTAAAAGGTATTCAGAAAGACAATGACATTTATTTATGATCCTATACCTAGTGATGATCTGTTGCACCAGAATCTAGAACCCATTAGAAGTGGCCACATATGCAGACAAGTAAACTTTTTGGTTCTTCATATAATTGATGGCAGATTGTAACTTATGGCAATATTTGACATGATGTGGGTTTTGCTTCTATAGAAACGACAAGGATTTTTACCATAATTTGATGGCTTGCGATCATTCTAGTTTTGAGGCTGAGATGAGGGGTGAGAATAGATCACTTTCGAATCTGAAGCCCAAATAGTAGCATTTGGCACATGGTAAGATCCAAGATAAGATGAAGACGAGCAAGCTAAAGTTGATGGGTGAACAACATTTATACTACTTTAAAAAGCACAAATAGGGTAAAGAATATTTCTGGAATTTACTAAGGACAAAATTTGCTCTTCTATATTTAAATTTATTGATAAAAACGAGGATAATTGGTTATTGATATTAAATGAGTTGAAAATAGGTTGTTTTAAGATATTCAATGCATTCAATTCCTTCTTATTAAATCCAATATTTAAGATATTAATTTGCATTCACCTTCATTCAATCATATATTTAAGCCATTTTTACTCATTATTAAATTCTATTAATTAAATTCATACATAATAAATTAATAATTCTAATAACATAAATAAATTATACTTTTAAAATCTACCTAAAATAGTGTTTTCATTTAGGTGGAGGTAAGAAATCAAACCATTTTGGGTCAAATGGGCCAATCCATGTTGCTACAATTAAATAATAAAATTCAAGAATAGATAAAATATAAAAATGTATAGAAATTAAAAAAAATGAAACATTTTTAATATCATTTATTTAGAATATTAAACAATAATAAGTATAATAAATAATAAATGTTTTTATTAATAATGGAAATGGAATGTAAAATTTAGAACCAATTGGAAATAAAATTATTTTCATATTCTCTCTGATTAAGTCTCATATCTAAGGTATATTCTCTCATTAAATCCTATTTTTAAGATGTATTTATCTCATCATTAAATTCTATTAATTAAATCTACAACATTAATTTTAATAGTATAAAAATAAAGATTTTGAAAAGTAATTTGAAAACAAAACCATTTTCTTCCCTTCCGGTGATGGGTAAGCAGTTCAACCATTTGGGGTCAAATGGGTTAATGAATAATGCCATAATTAATAATAAAAATTAAAATACATAAAATATATAATACAAAAAAAGAATTTGGCATATCTCTAATATTGTATATTCATTATATAAAACAAAAATAAATATGGAACGTAAGAAGTATTATTATTAAGGATGAAAATGGAATGCTAAATTTAAAATAACCTATAAATGAAATATTGGGTACATATCTATTGTTATGTAAAAATAGAAAATACAAATAACCACAAAAAGTAAAAAATAAAAAAAATTTGGGCACACATCTACTGTTATATATTTATAAAAATAAAATATTGGGTACATCTCTAATATTATTCATTCATTTTATTAAACAAAAATAAATATTATACATAAGAAATAATTTTATCATTGACGAAAATGTAATACAAAATTTAATGGCACCCTACAAAATTTTTCTTTTTGGGTGGTGGGTTAGTGGTTTGAGTTAAATGGAATAATCTATAATAGTTAAATAATAAATCTTGAGAATGTGATAATACAAGTAATAATATATATAATGTAGATGGAATATATTACTGAAAACTGATCCGAAAGCAAAAAATTTTCTTATCTAGATGGTGGGTAAATAATCCAACTTTTCAAAGAAATTCATGATGCCATAATTGAATAATAAATATTTTTAAAAAAATTGAACACAAAATGATAAAGTAGAGAATTGTGTTGAAAACATTTGGGAACATTTCTAATTTTATATACTTATCATATTAAATAAAAATAATTGTTAAAATAAAAATTATTTTTATTTATGACAGAAATGGTATAAAAAATATAATAATAATAATAATTGTTATCATAATTTAAAATTTCCACATGCAATGCACATGCACATTTAGTATAAGTGTTTAAGTTTATTTTTAATCATATTGTTACTTTTGTTAATTTTCATTATCTATATTAACTATGTGATGAGCCCGGATTTCCTACCCATAAGAACTCTACCCACGTCTACACTCATAACATCGCAATCACACGTGGAAAATATCTCATACTCCTACATAGTATTATGCACGAGGAGATGTTCCTAATGCACAGAGGTAGTGTGTTGTGGGTAGATGTGGGTAAGGTTATGGAGTCAACTTCCCCCTCTCAAAATCTGAAAAAAGAACGCCCCCAAAAAGTGACCTAATCAGATTTGGTCTTGACCATTGAGATAATACAATTATACAAGGGATAAGACTCCTTTGTGTTTATGATACATGGCACCATGCATTTCATCATTAAATGGGTGAAGCTAAATTATCCCTATAGAAGTCATCGAAATTTAATTTTTAAAACTCATAAATTCCATTTCAAAAAATAAATAAGAATAATTTTATTATTTTAGGACAAGCAAATGGCATACAATTTTCTTATTTATAGGAAATCAAAATAGATGAAAAGAAGAGAGGAAATCCACATATAAGTTTTCTTTAGAATCCAAGAAAGTTTGTATTTAAACAATAAAAACTTCAACTGGGTATGATATATGAGTAAAACTATACTTGGACTGACTATACATAACCCAAAAAATAATTCAATTGGAAATATGTCATAGGCTCCTTCCTCTTCAATTTCACATACAAAGCCTGTGCATAATGGGTCTCCCCACTAGTTCATTTAAAGTAGGGATGGTAACCAAATTTCTCATACTCTCTTGCTAAAAGTTCTTTGTCTAATTGAGACTATGAGCTGGTTGAACTGTCCTTTGGGAAGAGTATTAAAAATTTGCTATTGGAGGACATTTATTCCTATAACTCTCTATCAAGGTTCGAAATATCGATATGTCGAATACGCCGGTATAGGCGTACATATTGGGCGAATTGATACAGCTTTTGGTGCTTTTTTTTTTCACAAATGGTTCAGGGGAGCCGGTTTAGGCCTCCTCCACACCCTGAACTGGTCAGACTCCCGATACACCCACTGTAGGGGTGTATCAGAGGGGTCCCGGAACGATACGTATCAGCCGATACATATTGATACTTTGAACCTTACTCCCTATTAAATAGTGAGTGAACTGAATAGCATAAAGCCTATTTTTCAAGAAAAAAAAAAGAACGCAGAAAACTTAAAAAAAATAAAAGGCAAAAAATCATTCTCTCATGTGTAAGGTGGCACAGAACGATAATGTGTCTAGTTGTTTTATAACTTTTCTTTTTCTTTTGTTTTTAGTTTAATGGGCTACACAATGGAAGTAGCCCATCCCCCAACCTGAAAGTAGTGGGATTTGATCCCAGGTCTGTGTGGCAAGAGAAAATAATTTACCTGAAACTAGTTTTACTAAAATAACGAGTTCCCTTTATAATAACAAGAGAGAAATAATTTGCATATAAGTGAAGCCCATAAGCTTTTAAGGAACCTGTGATGGAGCTGCATCTAATATAAGTGAAGAAGTGATAGAGTCATCTCCATTCATTGATGTGTAAGCTTCTTCCTTAGCCTTTGACCATAGATAGATGTAAAGCCCCGCGATTATAACAATGGATCCAATAACACTGCAATTTGAGAAATACGAAATTCCTTCAAAGTTCAAACAAATCAGCTGAAACCATAGAGACGAGTTTTCTCTTTAAATGTGTTGCAGACTTGCAGTGCACTAGATTTTATTATTTTTTGAAAATTTTCGTGGGATGAAAAATGATTAGAATAGGGTGTGCACAAGATATGTAACTAAGGGTGTCAATGGACCGGATTTGGGTTGGACCCCGTCCAGTCCAAAATCAATTTGGATGAATTGGACGGACCAACAAGACATATTGGATTGGACTAATTTGATCCAAAATATTTATTAGATTGGATTGAACGTGGTCCATCTGTAATAAATTCATATTGAATTGGCTTGGATTAAGCCAATATCTGATCCATTCATATAAGATAAGAATATATATGTCAATGGACTGGGTTTGAGTTAAAATCAATCTAAATCAAAATGAATTTGAACAGATTAAACGGTCCAGACATTAAATTGGGGTGATCCAAATTAATCCAAAACATTCATTCAATTCGACTGAACCTGGTCCAATTATAATGGATTCACATTGGACTGGATCTGTTTGGATTAAACCCAGTTCAATTGACACCCCTAAATGTAATCAATCAGGTCGGAAGGGGTGTATGAGTTTCGGCCTGTTCGGAATATATAGGTTGGCCTGGATTGGATTACAGGGAAAGGATGGTCTTTTAGCAGAAACAGTTGGATCAAAGCAAGCTCAATTTTCACTTTAATGATCTTGCTCAGTTGCTCCAACCCATTGGATTTGGGCTTTGGGCTGACCTGGGGGACGCAAAAGGGCCCAATTGTTTCTCCACTTGCGAATTGTACGTGGACAAAACAATTCGGGCTGGCCTGCCTGGATCTGCTGTGTGTTTTTTTTTTCCTTGTCCACTGAGGAATCGATGGTGGGGTAGAGATAGGGATGCAAGTCAGGCAGGTTGGAGTGGGTTTATGGTCAATCCAGGCCCAATCCTAAGACTATAAGGCTCAAGCCCAAGGTTAAGCCCTATCTTCTCGATCTGAGTCCAACCCACATTGTAATTTGATGCATTAATGTTATGCCTGGCCTGGGCCCAAACATGTATATATGCACTTATAATACATATCTATCTGTATGTATATGTATAGTCAGATTGGATTTGGGCTACTTAAAGGCTAGGCCTCAGTCCAGCATGAAAAATTAAAGCATCCCAATTTTTGGACCTGAATCCAGTTTGAAGACCAAAAATCCAAACCAAACCCATGTAATATTCTAAGCTGGATTAATTAGAGTTCACATCTGCACCCCACAGGGGGGCGCCCCACAATGCCCCATAGCACATTCTGAACTTGTATTGGAAACATCTCCCAATGACATCCCATGAAATAATAAAACATCATTGGGAGAGATGTTACCAATACAAGATCAGGATGTGCTGTGGGACGCAGATGTATATTCTATTAATTAGGTCTCAAGTTGCATCTGCACTTCGAACACCATATGAACAGTCTTTACAGCCTTGCATCGGGAACATCTCTGTATTTTTATGCTTTATTTCGGACGAACTTTGCACTGACTGAATCTGGTTTCTGCATATGATCTTTCATGTGAAAGTATTGTTTCTGATGTACAGCTGTATTGTCCTGTTAACACTTCATTGATTGGAGCTAGCATTGGTTCTCATAATTTAGGCTCATTTTGGAAAGAATATAAATTCAAATATTACAAAATACAAGGTTTTGCATTATTGTATTTGTATTCCTTCCAAACTGAGTTTAAGGCTCAATTTGAAAAAAAGTATAAATACGAATATACACAATACAAATATAAAATATAAGGTTTTACACTTTATATATTTGTATTTATACTAGCCAAAAATAAATTAACTGAAATAGTCTAATCCTTATTAAAACTGAAACAGTCCAAGTAATAAATGAAATTAAAATGTAAAACACAATAAATAGTAGTATACCTTCCAGTGTATAAGCTGCTACCCAGAAATACTGTTTCCATGAGTATAGTAAACACATATGTTAGAGGTGAAAATGTGGCCACAAAGATTGGCCCCTTGACCGATGCACACCATGTATACAAGATATTTGATAAGCCACTATTCAATAAACCCTACAATAATGCGTTTTTGATCAAATTATCAAATAGAAGAAAGAATATTGCACATACATCCAGCATACTGTCATCCATCATGAAGTGGAAGTACACCAGAATTTGAAATAAATTAAAATATGGGTTCACATGCGACTAGGGGCGGATCCAAGTATATTGGTGGGGATGTTCCCCCCCTCCCCCCAAGGTTAAAAATGTAATAAAATGGGTACTTGCCCCAATTTTGAACTAAAAATGTAGGATCACTCTAATGCTCCTCTAACTAGATCTCAAAATTAAAGTTTTTTTTTTGTTTATTTTTCTTTAAAAAAATTTATAATAGACCCAAACCTTCTCACCCCATTTCCCTACACACCATACCTCTTCTACTCATCGTATTTTCTTGTTTAACTTGGCCCCTTCAAGAAAAAATTTCTGGCTTTGCCACTGCATGCGATCACAATTGCACCATATTTTTTTCTTTCTTGAACATGCTATAAATAGAGGTGTAAATCGGGCAATGCTGCCCATGACCTGACATAAAATTGGGCTAGTCTGGCATGGCTCGGCATGATGGGTTCAGTTGTGCTAGGCTTGGGTTTCTAGGTCCATGCACCGACATGGCACGGCATGATTGAGCAGGTTGTGCCGCTTGTGGCCTACATGCCGATAAGGCCCAACATGCAGCATGATCCAACATGACCCATATATATATTATAATATAAAATATAAATATATTAATATACTTAAAATTTTATTATATTATTTCATTTTATTATTGCATATGTAAATAATTGTATACATCAAAATTCATATAAAATAAAATTTTAAGAATTTTTTTTGTCTATTTTGCTAATTTACTTTAAAATTTTTTATTTTTTTAAATATACCTTTCATGGCTTGGCTTGGTCCACGACTCGGCCTGGCTCGTGGTACAACATGACATGGGCTGTGGACCATGCCGGGTTGACCCCTCGAAGTATCCCAAGAGAAGCATGGCCTGACTCGGCCCATAGGCTGGCATGGCACGGCTAGCTAAAAGAGTGCAATTTACACCTCTAGCCACAAAGTTCATCCTATATAGGGCATCTAAAAGAGTGCAATTTAATTGGGTTGGTTTAAAATAGTGGGCAAAATTATTTCTTACTCCAAGACCACCCTACATGTAAATATGTAATAAGGGTGCAACTAGGGTTGGTCTAATTAACACTTTACACTACTTCGGGGTTAGTCTTTCAAGTCTATTCATTCAAGTTTTGACAAAAGCCCAACCTGGCCCGCTTAAGTTACACCCCGAATACATTGAATGCATGAGGATAAAGATCTATAACTCAGTCTGATCGGGAATTGATTTCAGTCAACCTAAAAAATATAGAGGTTGTTTTATTGAAGAAACATTTTGTACAAGATTTATTTTGAAAAATGAGTATAAATGTTTATTGCTATTGTTTGATGACTAGGTGCCATTAGAATAGAGATGGCAATTTGGCATATTCCTGTAGGGCTCTACATACACCCTCTCTACCCCTGTTGGGGTGGGTTTTTTTACCATTGGTTGAGGTTTGGGGTGGGTTTTGGAGAAACTTGAAACTTTCGGGATCAGCGACAGGACAAAGATGGTATTTGTCCACTCTGGCCCAGCCCTACCCCCGAATCCACCCCGACTATTTCTAGATGGATTTCAAAAAATAAATTACAAATAAGAATGACCGAGGTGGGGCAGGGCAAGTTCAGGGATCCCCATTCCCCATGGGAAGGGGATGGGATTGGGATTTCAAACCCCAATAGGGTTTGGAGCAGGAACGAAACAAGGTAATTGAGTTCAGGGCCAGGGATGTGGCATTTCAAAATCTGACCCCATTGCCGTTCCTACATTAGACTTTATTAGGTGTCATTGGACACCTGAATGACGGAAGAAACACTAAAAATGATTAACTATATAATGATTAACTAGCATTGTTTCAAATAAACGGCCACTACCCAAACACCATTACATTATTTTGTGGATTCATTGATATTGATATGTATTTTTGAGTAATGCATTAATTAAGATTGATAATGTCTTGATACTTACACCAAATAATACCAGTATGAGTTCTAGACCCCATTTAAGGCGCCATTCCGATGCTTTATGACTTACAATTGCGGCTAATGCACCTGTTTGTAATGTTGTGCAGAAGAACATGATAGCGGACAGTGAAAACTCAGCTGGGTATTTTCTCATCATTGGTCTCTGCACAATCATGGTCGTAAAATCCATAGTTATACACAAATACAAACATCTTAATTCTTGCCAATATATCCAACAATAGAAATTATATTTTAGACTTCAAACCATTATTAGCATCATCCTTCACCTATTTTGGCCTACGTTAGGTTTTATTATTTTTAATAGATTAGGCTGAATACATCCGCCCATTTAAACATTTTATTTTTACAATAACTTTTGGTTTTATTGTCTTATTGACGTTTGATAACACTTTTCAGACATTTGAAGTTTGAAATATCTGTTTTTCAGATGCAATGCTTATTTGGTGTTGCATCTGAAATATGATTTGAAAAGTTTTTTTAAATCTAAAATTGTAAGACCCAGTCCCGTTACTTAACACATTAGATACGTTTTAGACGTGGCATAAAGTTGAAAATATCCCTACCCTATTCGATCTCTCTCTAGTCTTCCCGCCACTGCCGCTGCAACTCTCAGCAGCGACACTTGCTATCAAGAGGGTGAGGGATCAATAATTAATAATAATTATTAATTATTTTAATATTTGTATAGTCATTAATTATTTTTTAATTTTAATCGTTTCATTTATTAATTAGTAATTTTTATTTATTAATTTATTAATTTTATTCGTATTGTTACAACATTATTTTGAAGATGAAAATTATTTGTTATGAGATAGTGCGAATTGAACTCAACATTTCCAAATAGTATGTTCTAGGGATAAAATAGTAAAATCAGTGAATTTTAGATAGTAAAGAGTTGATCCAATACTAACAAACTTATCAATTCAGAGCCTCTAAAAAGTAGGAAAGCACCTATTCTTATTTTCAGATTTCAAATTTATCAAACACCACCTTAGCCCCAACTTCTATGATTTTATCTAATTTTGACTCCATTAGCTTATATCCATTTTACTCTACCATTCCCATCTTGTTTATTGGCAAATAATATTGGTCATTTAGACAATGGAATATTAAGTATGTAGCACATTTGTTAGAAAATGATATTCAACCTTTGAATGAAGTAATGGTCATAAAATTGAAAAGTTGGGAATAGTTCCAATAGCCTATAAAATAAGAAGAAAAAGTATATTAAGATGGTTTGAATATATATATATATATACCAAGGGACGGGTGTTTTTGTGGCTTTTGCATGGGTGAGCGTGTTAGAAAATAAAAACCTATTCATAGACCTCACCTAACAGCTCATTTATAGCTTAAACTTTTAGATTGAATGGTTCCTTCAGAGGTAGAAGTAGTAAGAAAAAATTTAGATGATGATGATAAAATTGGAAAGAGACGTGGTGACCCTCTGACTATTAAACTTACCAGCATCAGAATCCATGTACTAAATGCAAGAATTCCTATGACAGCCATAACCAATCCAAGAATCCATTCTCCCAGGCTTGTTTTGAGAATAATAGCAGAACCACGCCATGACATTAGGGTGAGAGCACCCGAAACACATAAAAGACAACCAAACAGCTTCCCTTTGCCCCATAATGTGTTTAATTCAAGCATTTCTTCTCTTGAGATAACAGATAATATATAAGTAAAAATGGGGACCATGTTGAGAACCGCAGTCTCTATTGTACTTGAGATGAAATAGAGACAGGCTGCTAGTAAGTTCTGAGCCAATGTTATCCTGCAGGGAATCCTCAAGATTGAAAATCCACAAACAAACACATAAAATATCTATAAAGAGAGAAATTACCCAACAAAAGCTAGAAAAAATATCCAGAAGAAAATGGGTAATGTGAGAGGGGGCCTGTTCCTTCTGCAACAGAGAAATAATAGAAGAAAGAAGGTAGTATATTAATAAATGCATTACAGGCAAAACAAAAGGCATAAGAGAGAATCTTGATCAATTGGGGTTGGAATTAATTACCTTTCAAAAATGAATGACAGAGCACCCGCGAAAATTGTTGCTAATATGTATTGATACACAAGTAGAACAGTAGAGCTAATCCCTGTAACGAGTATGGTATTGGTGAGTACAAAATAACCTGCAGTGATAGCCTGAACAACGATCATGGTTGCATGTGGAGCTATCTTTATTGCACCGCTCATTATAGAAGAACCCACCATCTCGTCTCTTTTCTTGAGCAAATTTTTGCCCTTCTCTATCTCGATTTCCTATTTATACACATTCTCTCAGTCACACACACACACACTACCTGACTGTTAGGTGCTAATATCCATCTGGGTTTTAGAAGGAATGTTAGGTTGACTCTAAATTATAATGGGATCGACGACTAGTGTGTGTAGTTTCTTTGGGAGTTAGGTAGCAATTTGAATAGCTCATATATTCAAATGGGTAGATAGGCATGCATAAACTCGGTTATATAGCCTGCTACACCTTTGAGGGTTGTTAAAGAAAAAGGTTGGAATGGGGGTTAACCAGGGCCAGCCATCCGACTGTAGTAATGGTTGTCCTCGTCAACTCAACCGGCTTAACCTGATAGTAATGCCATGGATACGGGTTTCTTTGCAGAGTAATTATAGAGTTCAAGCTCGATTTGGAAATCCTAGTTCTCATATGGATGAATAGGGTTGTCTTTGAGTCCAGTAGGCCTGAACAAAATAGATCAAATTATACAAGGTTTAGGCTTGCATCATGTGTCTCAAATTAGGGTGATCATTTTCAATCTAGTCTGGAAAATTCCCAGCTTGGGCTTAGGTTTTGTGTTCAAGCTTGACTTGGGTTCAGGGCTGCAAATTTTTGGGCCCTTGGCCCAATACTTCAGTCCGGGCCACACATATTTATGTAGCTATTATTTATACAAATATATGTATGTTGTAAATTGCTGAAACCTCCTTTGAAGTTTCTAGTTGTTACTGAAACCTGCTGTGAAATTTGGTAATTTCAATCACCTCCCCTGAAATTTCTGACAAAGTTGCAAATAGACCCTCTATGTTATAATCATCTAAAAGAGGCATGGAAATGTCTATTACACCCATGCAATTACTTTTGACCATAATGTTTATTTTCCAAATTTTCTCTTCGTATGAATCACTGGCCCAAATCATATACTTTTTGAAATTGATTTATTTTTCAAATTTTCCCTTTATACCAATCACTCTTTCCTTTAGAAACTAGCCTCAATAGTAACTTCATGGGTAATTTGGACATTTTCATGCCTCTCATTAGAGGATTCTAATAGAAAGGGTCTACTTGCAATTGAGTTATAAAGTTCAGGGAAGGTGATTATAATTAGCAAGCTTCAGAGGAGGTTTCAACAATAGTCAAAAACTTCAAGGGAAGTTTTGGCAATTTACCCTATTTTATATTATATTATGACAACTATAAAATAGTTGACATAATTTTCGTTTTGGGCTCATTCTGTTAGAATGTTAATTGGGGTGAACCCATGTTATTTTATGGTTTTAAATTGTTGAACATACTAATTTGTTGAATTTGCCATATGGCCATAAACAATTAGCCATACAAAGAAATTATGTGACCCTCATCATGGGTGGATGCACATCATCCGTAGTGGACCGATTAAAAATCTAACTTTATGAAAGTTAGTGGAAGTCACATTAGTGTAAGTATAAATGTATATTAGTATTTTACTTTTATTCCAATTCCTATTCTGATTTCTATCTGAACCAAACAGGGAATATATCATTTTGATTTTTATTCCAATTGCAAACCAAACGGACCTTAAAATCTTTAACCAAATGGTAGACCAGTTGGGGTAGAGGGAGTTTTGGAGTGGAGAAATCTATTTGTGGGATTGACGACCAAAGTGCTACAATGTAAAAAGTTGAGGGGTTTTGTTTGTTGTGAAAACAAAATTGAGAGGGGGCTAATGTCACTAGACCTGTTCATGTGCTGGGTGGCCCGATGGGCCGGCCCGGCCTCCGGACGGGCTTGAACACGGTTATAGGCCTGCGGGCTTAAATTCGGGCCACAAAGCCCGACCCGCAATAAATTCGAGCAAGGCTCGGGTTTTGTCAAAATAGCCTGGTCTGACCTAATATTAGACTTAAAATGAGTAATGTGATTATGTCCATTTGAATAAATTTTTTTATTTAAGAATATAAAACTGTGTTTTAAAATATAAAAGAAAGGGGAAAAAACCATCTTGTAGGCCCATTGTTCATTTAAATAGGAAAAAAAACTATCTGAATTTTTAATTCTAATTTGAATAGGGAAAATTGTTTTTTTTTTTTAATTAGGTCGGGCTTCGGGCTTTTTATTAGGGCTGGGCTCAGGCCCAAGTTATAGGCCCGTTGGTCGGGCCGGGCTCGGGCCTAACATATTTCCCTTAATGACAAGTGAAAGCCCGGCCCGGCCCGACCCAGGAACATGTCTAAATGTCACTACTTTGTACTTGTTGTTGCTAAAGTTGGGGCCAAGGGAAAAAAGGGAATTTCATTGATGTCTGAGGCCGATGGGTCCAACCTCTAGGTAGGAGAAGAATACACGTCAGAGGCCCCAGGTGTTATCCCAGGGGCAGAGACTCCAACGGTTATGTTAGCCAACTGCCAAGGAGGAATCAGACTAGGTTTGAGACGAGGGCTCTGAACTTAGTCCTCAAGGCTGCATTTGAAATCAATGTAAAAATACATTGATATCGTTTTACAATGAACCGTAAAAGTGACCGCTACTTTTTGAAAAAACGCGATAGGCGGAAGAGTGCAAAGTTTTACATCAATAAAATCGATGTAGTTTTTACATCGATTATCGACGTAAAACTTTATGCTTGATGAGGTTTACATCGATTATCGACGTAAAACTCCACTCCATCCAAACACATGCAAAACTGAACCGAAGTGAAGTTTTACGTCGATCATAATTACACGCTCCTTCTAAACGCCTACAAAACCGAACCGATGTAAATTTTACATCGGTTCTTGATTTATATCGCTTCCAAATGCAGCCTAATAGCTAAGGAGAGATCTTTTGGGATTCTGAATGCAAGAGAGCAAAGGTGCCTTTACCTTGGGATGGGAACCCCTTTTTATAGCTGAACTTGCCTTGGAGTGGTTAGAGGCAGTTGGAGATGTGCAGTCAAGATTGTATCTAGCTAACGCCACATGGCACGATCTGAGGCCTGCCAAGTATGCCTACATCAGTACCCAAACAAACCAGCAACTACACGGGCTGGGCTTTTGGTTTGATTTTACACTGTGTCAGATTCGGGGTTGGGGCCAGGCCCATGAACAGGTCATCGATGAGTTGACTTTCGCTCCAATTATAATTTATAAGGAATTTGTCTAAAACTCATCATGACTTTTCAACATGTCCAAGGAACCCAATGTCTGTGAGTTTTTGTTTTCAAAACTCACCATCTGTTAAAGCACATTTAATGTTCATTGACAGAAATTGTCTACGTCAGCATAAAAACAATTTTCATATCCAAACTGCCCCTAAATGGCAAGTCAGCCTTTCAGGTTGTGTTCTTCCCTCTTTGTTCTCCCATACGCTTGCTCTCTCACTCACTAATGGCAAGCCAGCCTTTCAATCTCCTTAGCTTGTCCTCCAGGCTTCCAAGGCAGTTGAGGCCGTTCAGTTGTACAAAATACTCTATCCTGCTAATCTATCTCTAGTGGAAAAATCTCACTTCGAACCAACCACCCCAATGGACTATGAATCAAAATCAATACTAGATAAGCGTCTTCCTTGCTCAACCTACCATGATCTCTGAGTTTGGCAGCCATTACTCCTCCAACCTTCAATTGTGAGACAAACATCTAAACTCTATCAATTGCAAACAACACCCGTTGGCCCAACCTATCCACTATCAGCAAGGATATTGATGGAAGGTGATTTGGCCCAACCTCGTAGTACGGGGATACGTGGGTACAACCTGGAATAAGTGACAACTTAGCGTGGCAGCCTGGCCATAACTCGGCGTAATGAACTCGCCGGAGCCCGGCGATACAACTCGGTGGGCATGGCAACTCGCCAAGAAGAAGCATCTAGCTTACCCTGAATTCTCCCTAAGGGAGGAGCGCCCCAAGCTCCCTCCAAGCGAGGACCCCCGAGCTCCTTCCAACGGGTCCTGAACTCTTCCTTCCTGAGAAGGGAACACCCCGATCTATGGGTAAGTATCCCGAAGTGGAAGCACTTCGGGAGAACCCCATTAACACTCTTGCCCATACTTACCTAAGGCTCGCTTCAAGCAAAAGCACCTCGGCGTACCCCCAGCACCCCGGCATAAGGCAGCTCGGTGCAAAGTAGCTCGGCAACCTGCAGAAAAGATCTGTCTGACAAAAGTACTGCCGAATCTGGAGGCTGTGCCCACGCCTCTTGTCAGGCGGCATCGTGCCTGCCACTTCTACCAGATGTGGCACGCCTGACAGGTCCGTACCCTGCAACGGCTACCCGCATCTGCCACCTTGGCTCTGGCAATAACGGTTGTGGCAGAGGCGGTTACGCCTGATTTGAGAGATCCCCAATATAAAAAGACCCCGACCCTCGAGGAGCCAAGGTACTGAACTTGTGCCATCTCACTCTTAGCTCTCTCTTTATATTCTTCAGTTCTCTCAGAGTTCTAACTTAAGCATCGGAGTGTACCCGTCGGGTGATCTCCCCGGGAATTCTTCACCTTCCTCTTCGTCTCAGGCACGATCCGTCACCAGCTAGGAGCCAGGTTTCCGCCAGCTAGGAGTGTCCGGATCACGCAGCATCATTTGGCGCCGTCTGTGGGAAGCGCTTCAAAAAGCCTTCATCTAATCTCTGCAACTCTCAGAAGTCAGCATCCATGGCTTCTTCCAGCAATGTCGGACGAGGAGCAAACTGAAATTCCTCTGAGGAACAACTCCAGCTTCCCACTGTCTGCATTGGATAGTTCACCGTCTCCCTTTCTGCGGACGGAGTTCCCAGTGTGAATGTGCCTCAGACAGTGGCGCCCGTGAACATTCCACTTCCTTCCACAATAAGAACAACCTTCACTGAACCCTCCATCATCCCTCCGGCGGCCAGCCAAAGCCAGCTTGAGGACCTGATGCAATGCATATGAGGTATGCAAGCTCAAATGCAACAGTTCCAAAAGATCCAACTTTATCAGCAGCAAGTGCTGCACCAAGTTTCCCAGTATCAGTATCAACAACAATTTCCTCCACTGCCTCAGGCCCAGCAACCG